ACTCTTTAAACCCAACCCTTAATCTCAACCTAACACCTAATTCTACATCTCAAATGAATGCCTCCACCTAACCCTGGTTCTTCATCCAAACCTCGAACTCTAAAATACAAATTAACTCCTGAACCAAACCACAAACCCAACACCTCAAAGTTACCCCTAAACCTAACTCGATCTCAGCCTAACCTCCTTTTTTTTTTTCTACAAATCATATTAAACAATAAACCCAGCCCTTAATCTAAACCTAATTCCTAATCCTACACCTCAAATTAACCCCTGAACTGAACCTTTAATCTCAACCCATTCCCATATACCTCATCTCAGATTAACCCATAAACCTAACCCTTGATCTCAACCTAACTCCTGTGAATACAAATCATATTAAACCATAAACTCAGTCCATAATTTCAACCTACCTCCTAATCCTGCACTTGGAATTAACCTCTAAATTGAATCTTGGCGCAACCCCTAAAACACCTCAAAATAACCCCTAAATCTAACCCTTGATCTCAACTTAACTCCTATTCTTATATATCATATTAAAACCATAAACCCAGCCCTTGATCTCAACCCAATCCTAATCCTGCGCCTCACATTACCCCCTGAACTGAACCCTTATTTTGTAACCCAACCCCTAACACCAGACCTCGAATTATGTTCTCTTGGCCTTGGTCCCATGGCCTTGGCCTTTGTCTCATGGTCTTCATCTCTTGGTCTTGGTCTCATGGCCTTGGTCTTGGTCGCCTAGTCTTTGTCTCATGGTCTTCATCTCATGGTCTTGGTCTCATGGCCTCAAACCATGGCCTTGGTTTGATGGCTTTGAAGTAGCTCCTGCCTCATATACTCCATCCTTGTCCATTGTGTATATACTCCACCATAGGCAGGTGTTGGTACAGCCACTGTTAATATGAGGAGCGATGCTGCCGCTCTGTTGGATGAGCAGGGATAGGGAGTGCTGCTGCGGTTGCTGCACACTTCCTACCACTGTGGTAAACAAAGCAGTCACATGAAAAAATGGTTCAATTAGATGTGTATGGGAATTACACCCATACTGAGAATTACTACGGTACTAGGCGCTAGAGGGGGGTCAGTCATTGGACCAGTGTTTCCTTTTGGGTGCCATCTTGAGAGAGCCCTATGTCTAATTGTATACATAATTCTCTTGACATTTGGGTGGCCATCTATGACGGAGAGGTTATACATAGCCCTTGCTGGGTCATTTAGGTACGTCTGCAGTGTTACGGGTAGGAATGGAGACCCATTTGTGAGGGAAAGGTAGGCCTTGACACAAGGATGCCTTTGGAGACCCCCTGGCATACGGGGAAAGGACATCGATAGAGGCTAGATATACTGTAGATAGTGCTGCTGAATAGGCCCATATCGCAGCCATCAAATCAGTGCATTGCTTACATTATACTTCGAGGAGATCTACACCCAATCACGAAAATCTCATATCTGCTCTACTTGTTCTTTGGGGAAAGAAACATTCCTGGATATGTTCTGAAGGTGGGAAAACTTTCCGAACTATCAGTCTCTAATCTTTCGCCATGTTTTGTGTCTCTGATATGTCTGTCTCTTTCTGTCTATCTGGCCCTCCGTCTCTCTTTTACCCCTCATCTCTCACCCTCTGTCTCTCACTGGCTCTCCGTCTCTCTTTCTCTGGCCCTCTTCCTCCCTCTCTCTTGTGGTGTGTCTCCCTCTGGCCTTCTTCCTCCCTGCTTCTGACTGTCTCTCTCTCTATCTGGCCCTCTCCCTCCCTCTTTCTGACTGGCTCTCTCCCTCTCTGGCCCACTCTCTCTCTCTGTGGCTCTCTCAGTGGCTCTTGTGCTCTCTCTGTGGCTCTCGCGCTCTCTCTCTCTGTGGCTCTCGCGCTCTCTCTCTCTCTGTGGCTCTTGCTCTCTCTCTTTGGCATGCCTGCACTCTCTCTGTG